ATTAGGCACATCTAATTCACAAAACAGGGCAGGTAAGATTATTTTTTATATAATTAATTATTTAGAAATTAATTAGAACGTTTAGAATTAATTGAACATTATTAATAGTCATTGAGGTGGGGGTGTGTGAGGGTCTGGCTTTTTGTTAATCCCCCCCCCTCCCCTAAATCAGAAGGTTATCCAACGCGTGACCTGGCCACATACACTTGTACATGTGAAAAACATTTTTCTCTCTATTATTATTATGCATTACTGCATTATTCACCCAATCGCCATGAAAACTTGGGAAGCTGTTGAGTACAACCCCGCAAAGGTTTCTGTCATAGGCCTAACATTTGTATATATTTGAGTGGGGACTCCTAACGGAAATATGTGATTTAGCCAGTGGCGTAGGCAGGGGGGGGGGGGGGGTAGGGGGGGTCATAACCCCCTATAGACCCTTCGGTATATATATATATATATATATATATATATATATATATATATATATATAAAGTATGAAGGGGGTGCAAATCGAAAGTTTGAAGGGGGGGGGGTGCAAATCAAAAGTTTGAAGGGGGGGGGGTGCAAATCAAAAGTCTGAGGGGGGGGGGGGGGTGCAAATCGAAAGTTTGTCCCCGGGTAAAAATTGAAACCCCCCTTGAGACGATCCTGGCTACGCCACTGGATTTAGCGCCCCGTGATCCTGCATAAGCGGATGAGGTTACTGCTTGAATACAACCGGCGTCAGTGTCATCCTGAGCGCATCACATATGAGCAAGTTGGCCCCCACAGACAGTCGTTTAAAAGTTCCCACAACACTAGGAATAAGTCTCGCTACAACACTCGATGACTAAATCTAATTAGGTGTCGCACCAATGTTTCTTCCAGGGTAGACTGTTTTCGGGGGAGGGGAGGGGGGAGCTCTGACGGAAGAAACAATGTGTCACACCCATCACCCGTGCAGTAATGTAACCGGTAGCTCCAAGAGCCCCGTGACTCCCCTGACACCTGGGCCGTCGCCGAGGGATTTACAGCATGCCTTGGCGTGTCTAGTTGGTAGTGTGGACAAACCCGCGCCCTAAGATCCAAGAAATGAACTGCCGACATTGTTAGGCCTAACATTTAATTCAACTTCTGGAAAACAGGGCACACGGTTAGTAACGTTTTGATGAAAGCCTCAGTTTGGTGTGTTGGACTAGATTTAGAAAGGGGCCAGCTCGTGTGTTGGAAAACCTCTGATTTATTCGTGTACCAGATGGAATTTTTTTTTTTTAATTTGAGAGCGAACCTTGTTTATATATATATATATATATATATATATATATATATATATATATATATATATATATATATATATATATATATATATATATATATATATATATATATATATATATATATATATATATATATATATATATATATATATATATATATATATATATATATATATATATATATATATATATATATATATATATATATATATATATATATATATATATATATATATATATATATATATATATATATATATACATATATATATATAATATATATCTATATATCTATATCTATATATATATATATAGGGGCCCAAAAAAAATTCTGCGGGGGGGGGGGGGGGGGGGGCTTTTTTTTCTAGTTCCGCCACTGATACACATGACATGTTGTTGTGATTAGATTTAATTGAATTTTTTTTTTTAAAAACCCGATCAGGCCAGAATTGAGTATCCTATGTTTGTATTGTGTGTTTATATATATATATATATATATATATATATATATATATATATATATATATATATATATGGGGGGGCCCAAAACATTTTTTTGCGGGGTGGCCCATTTTTTCTAGTTCCGCCACTGCTTTAAAGCTTAATTTTTTAGCACTTTTTATGTATCATATACACATTTTCTTTAAATTGTTTCATTTAATATCGAACAAGAAGCTCAAGTTGAAGGTTTGGGAATATTTATAAACCATACAAAACATTATTGTCATAATTTCTCCAAATGGCATCACCCGATTTCCCCCCAAAAGGGTATTTAACCAAGCTAGATTGATTTTCGTTGACGATAGTTGAGTTGCTTCCCTTTGTACAGCTTTGCTAGCTATCTTGACGATTAATAAATCAATTGAACCTACTTAATTAACTCTTAGTACAATTATTATGAAAACTATTTTTTCTGCTCCTAGAAGAAATATTACATTAAAATATGTTATTCAATACCAACTAAATATAAAAAACTGTATAATTTGAGTTTTAAAAGCTGAATACAGACACGCTGCCTAATTGAACATCTTTTAAAGTGCAGGGGTCTCCAAACTTTTCAGTCCGAGGGCCGCATTAACTATCAAATTTCAGTTCGGGGGCCAGTTTCTTCCAGAAATCTGAAATGTCTTTGATTTTTCTGGGCAAAGTTCCTCCGCCATTACCAACAAACGTTTTTTCCGTGGACAAAAAAGATCTCCGCGGGCCGGATGAGAGGACATCGCGGGCCGCATATATAGTTTTTTTTATATAGTAGTGTATTATTGTATATTTAAAGAAAATAATTTATTTACTCCTTTTTAGTGCATTATTGCATAAAAGGCTTTTATTAAAACTTTTTTTTTAAAATGCAGATATTAGTCATTCGTTTGAAACGAAGTTAACTCTAGGCCTGCACGGGCCACGACTAAAAATATAATCGTTAAAATCAGTCCAGTATCTTGCGATATGTAACATTCATTTATCTACAGAGGCGTAGCGACCCTTCCCGGCGCCCGGGGACAAACTTTTCGATGTGCACCCCCCCCCTCAAGATTTTGATTTGCACCCCCCTCAACCTTTCAATTTATTTTTCCAACCCATTTTGGCGCCCCTATGGTCGGCGCCCGGGGACATATGTCCCCCCCCCCGCCCCCCGCCCCTCGCTACGCTACTGTTTATCTATCTATATACGTCTATATTGTTCTCGTGGTCGACGATAGGTTGCGAAATCAGCACTGTGAAACCAGATCACCCCTCACGGCTCTCTGATCAAGCGATCGCTATCATTTTATCTTGTTATCTCCCCTTTATTTATTGAATATAGTAATTTTAAAACTAAATTGCCTATCCAACAAAAGCCTTTGATTAGATTAAAAATGAGATATTCTTGCATTGTCTTTAAGATCTATGACTGTCTAATTTTTAGCTCAATCGGACAATGGGAAGTTGGTTAATTAATATTCCAAGATTTACAAAGCCAAAAGTGATAATTTTCCTTGGGGGTCATCCATAAATGACGTCACGCTTTTTTTGGGACGATTTTTACCTACCCCCCTCCCTTCCGTCATACGTCGTCACAAAAAGCCAGACCCCCCTAAAATGACGTCACACCTCAACCCAGTGGCGTAGGCAGGGGGGGTCATAACCCCCCCCCCCATAGACCCCTCTGTATATATATATATATATATATATATATATATATATATATATATATATATATATATATATATATATATATATATATATATATATATATATATATATAAAGTATGAGGGTAGCACCCCTATTAGTGTTGTCCTTTCATTTATGACAATAATAAATTAATTATCCTTCATGTTATTTTTTTTTATATCAGGCCTAGGCCTAACGATTTTTACAAGCTTTTATTTAACTCACTTCCTCGTCAGTCGACAGTCTGTCTGTCTAGACGGAAACGCAGGAGTGAAAATTCGGACAGTTCTACTTGACCGACACGATTCACAGTTGGCACGTGGGTCAAGACATGAAGACAATGCAATCTGAAACTAAATTTGACTTAATTGGATGCCTAATTGATTTTTTATGAATTAATTAAAATTTGGACCGAATTAGTAGGCATGTCTAGCCAACCACACCACACGCGTCATCAATAGCTGCGCCATCACGACCACGTAATGGCTGCGTTCAAAAACCATTGCGCGCCTACTGAACGTGATATTCAGTAGGCGCGCAATGGTTTTTAGTCATGTAACTCTATTGTAGATAAAACATGTAAAGTACTGAAAAAAAAATTCATAAAAAACGTTTTAATAACAAGCTTTTATGTAATGATGCACTAAAAAGTAGAAAATAAATTATAGACTACTATTTAAATAACTATAAAGAAAAGCGTGGGTGTCTTCCTTAACATTAGTAAAGGTATCCAATAGATACTAAAGTGACCCACGCTTTTCTTTATAGTTATTTAAATAGTAGTCTATAATTTATTTTCTACTTTTTAGTGCATCATTACATAAAAGCTTGTTATTAAAACGTTTTTTATGAATTTTTTTTACAAGCTTTTATTTAACTCACTTCCTCTGTCTGTCGTCAGTCTAGACGGAAACGCAGGAGTGAAAATTCGGACAGTTCTACTTGACCGACACGATTCACAGTTGGCACGTGGGTCAAGACATGAAGACAATGCAATCTGAAACTAAATTTGACTTAATTGGATGCCTAATTGATTTTTTATGAATTAATTAAAATTTGGACCGAATTAGTAGGCATGTCTAGCCAACCACACCACACGCGTCATCAATAGCTGCGCCATCACGACCACGTAATGGCTGCGTTCAAAAACCATTGCGCGCCTACTGAACGTGATATTCAGTAGGCGCGCAATGGTTTTTAGTCATGTAACTCTATTGTAGATAAAACATGTAAATTACTGAAAAAAAAATTCATAAAAAACGTTTTAATAACAAGCTTTTATGTAATGATGCACTAAAAAGTAGAAAATAAATTATAGACTACTATTTAAATAACTATAAAGAAAAGCGTGGGTGTCTTCCTTAACATTAGTAAAGGTATCCAATAGATACTAAAGTGACCCACGCTTTTCATTATAGTTATTTAAATAGTAGTCTATAATTTATTTTCTACTTTTTAGTGCATCATTACATAAAAGCTTGTTATTAAAACGTTTTTTATGAATTTTTTTAGATTCTACTTTTAAAAAGTTTTACTGGAAAAAAAAAAAGAAAATCACCAACATCTTTATCTTTACCTGGCCACTTATTCCTCAGAAAACGCCATATTGTTTCCGTCAACTTGGAAAGTTATTGTGGTAGGGAGGTGTTTCTTTCCTTATCGTTAGTATTTTGTTTTAGAATAGTTTTTTTTTAACAATGAGTCAAGACGTTCCAGAAGAGTTTCGTCCTAGACTTTGCCATGTTGTAAAATGGCCAGAATTCCAGGGCTATGGTTTTAATCTTCACGCTGAAAAAGGGAAAGCTGGGCAGTTTATCGGAAAAGTTGACGAAAACTCTCCAGCTGAAAAAGCAGGGCTCAAGGAAGGTGACCGAATCGTTGAAGTAAACGGTATAAACATTGGAAATGAAAATCATCAGCAAGTTGTTACAAGAATTAAATCTGGTGGAGAGGAGACAACTCTCTTGGTGGTTGATACTGCATCTGACAATTGGTACAAGGAACAGAAAAAAGTTGTAAGAGGAGACTTGCCAGAAGTTCGAAAATTAACTGCACAGCGAGAACACAATCACAAAAAAGGTATGTACTAGAATCTATGTAGTTCTAGAGGTCTACTACATTTATGTAGCAATATGATGCTAGACAGAGATAATAAAATAAACAGTAGGCCTAACCAGGGAAGCTTTTGGACCTTTGGTTCTTGTTTCACTTTTGTCTGTACTGTAGGCCGTTCGATTCAACGCTTCCCGGTTTGTCATTTTCGTGGCATCTCACGGCTCATGCGCTTACTAAAATGGCGACCAGTTTCGCTTTCACTAAACGGTATAAAGATAAAACTGTTGATTATGATGCCATAGTTAATTTTAGAAAACGGAACTATCCGTTTCTATTTCAGTCTTTTATTTAAGAATTCCCATATGAACTTTTTTGACCTAATTTCTTTGTCTCGCAAGTGGTGCGTAAGTGAAAATAACTATGTATTCTTGTCTTTTAAATTAAATAACTCTGAAATATCGCTTGGACGGTAAACCAGCATATGTGAACCCTAAACTTTAAAGTATTAATCTAACACACATTACAATTAACTGGTAATAATATATGGGTTTTATGAGATGTGTTCGTGGGTAATGATCACCCCTCAATAATGCCATTTTATTATAATCTTTTTTGGTGAAAACGAGTCGCGGGAAAAAGTGTGCAGCGCAAGAATCCAATAATTTGGCTAGATTTATGACTGTTTTTTTATGTCATACCTAAAAATAGATTGTTTACGCTTTCTTCATTGATGATCGTTTTTATTATTTTTTAAAATAAAATTATGAATTATTAGTCCGATTGCAGGTTTTGTAACTTGGTATACTGACCCGTTATCAATTTTCAATAGCATGCTGATTGTGTATAAATATAGTCATAAAACACAGAATTATAAAGTTCCAATTGCGATGTGCCACACCCCCTCAAGAAAGCATCAGGGATGTGACTTTTCCGAATTTTAGCGGAAATCCGATTTTTCCGTTTTCGTTGGGATTTTCCTCCGCTGATTCAATTTTCGCCGAATTTTTCCGCCGACTTTCAATTTTTGTCGATTTTTTACGAAATTTTAAAAATTAGGAAAAAACACGGAAATGTCTTCTACGGAAAGGGCCGACATGCTCATTCCACTTATTCGTATTTAAATTTAAATCGACAACTACTGTACTTAGGTCAAACGGACACTGGAATATGCGCATTTCTTTTCGATTGGTCGATTGCGCTAGGTCTGACGGTGCTAGATCAAGATTAAATATAGATTAAGATTCGGAATTTCGGCGGACTTTCGAATTTTTCAAAGCACACTTTTTTTAGTTCAAATTTTCCGCTGATTTTTTCAGTTAACTATTTATCAAAAACACGGGAAAAAGGTAATCTAAAATAATGCAGTTATTCAAATGAAACATACATCTCTTAAGGCTGGTAATCTAGCTATCGATATAGCCTAATTTACCTATCGGTATTTTAACCCGCCTAAATCTAGAGTTTCTCTCTGATTCTATTTTATTTCGCAATCTCAAATTAATATTGAAATCCTTGCAAAAGGTGACTATGAGGACTAGACCAACCCGCCCCACCTCATAGCAACGGTGGCTCTTGTGACCTCACCTTGACCCCAAGTACGTGTTCGGTACTGCTTGTGGGGGAAAAATGACGTCACAGTCAATTTCAAATAGCTGTTCCTGCAATACGTATGCTTCGTAGGCCTACAGATTAAAAAAAAATACTAAACTCAACGTGACTACGATCGTGTCTTGTTTGTGGAAGAAAAAAAAAGTTCAGAGGTCTTCCATAAATAACGTCACACTCGTAAGATAGTGCAACGTCATATTTTTGTATTTTAAAAAAAAAGTAATGTTAGAAACAACTGTATTTTAGCCTCTATTAGAAAACTGTTGTAAAACATTGTAATAGAAATTGAATAAAATACCCTTTTTTGGTCGACCTCAGTCAATATTTTAGAAAAAAAACGATGTTTAAAAAAAATCAAATTAATTTCGAGGAGGGGGGGGGGAGCATTTGTTGGCTGAGGTGTGACGTCATTATAGGGGGGGGGGTCTGGCTTTTGTAGGAGAGAGGGGAGGTAAATATCGTAAAAAAAACGTGGATGACCCCTAACAATTTACATTTATTCCAAAAAAAAACAACATAAATATCGATATGGCTTGGCTATCAAAATGATTAACTTTTGATTAACACGTCAGACCCTTTCTAATTTTAGCTAACCTGGTCCATTTCATTTTTCCATCACATGAACCTAAAACTTTGAAATTATAACTAATCTTAATCTAGGCTCTTTACAGTTGAAGACGAATATTTTTACCAATCCTATCTTTGAAAGAATATTAGGCATTAGGCCCCCTATTTAAAAATTGAAAACATAGTACTTCTAGAATGTACACTAGATTAGTACAGTTTAAGTTAGCTTAATGAATGGTAAAATAAAACTTAATTGCTACTTTTGTTACATTGTAATTTTTAAAAAGTTGTTTATAAGGTAAACATTAAATTGCAATTAGACAAGACTTTCAATGTTATTTTAGAGTAACATAAACTTCTTGTATTTAAAATATTAACTTCATTAAACAATTAATTAGTAAAGTAACAGTATGAAGCTGCTTAACTGCGGTATGAAGCTGCTTAACGCGATAAAAATTAGATAAAACATATTGAGTTATTATCCAAAGAAAATTTCCTAATTTTTTTTCCTGGTCTGGTCACATCCCTGAAAGCATGTGTTTATTTAGCTGTTTATCACACTTTACTACAGTAATTAAAATTAATTTTCAATTTTTTCTTACTTATTTGGGTAAGATTAAGCACATTTTTACTACTAATTAAAAAAAACAATAGTAAATTCTGTTTTAATGAAGATCACAGGTCAAGTATTTTTTCCTTCAGTCAAGTTCAGTGGAAGGTGCCACAGGCTGACCTGACTTAGGATTTTTTTTTCAGTAATAATGACTTTGTACAGAAAGTAAAAATATGCTAAATTGGCTTAGTTTACTAGTGTGCTAGCTATTATTGATACATTTTTAATAGAAAAATCATTCTGAAATTCTCATCAAAAAGCCTATATACTGATATCATTCCAAGTCTTTGCTAAATTCTGCTAAATACAATTATTAAAGTAACTGAAATGGATGATTTGCTGGTCTGTTCCAGAAAATTTTGTGACTGTTTTTAATTAAAAATTATTGCATTTTTTCATGGACCATTTTCCTTCCTTATCAATACTAACTAGGCAACCTTAAATAAAAAGTGAATAAATTACTCTAATCAAACCGCTTCTAATTTTCTCAAATAATAACAATAAAAGAATTAGTAAAGAGAAGTCAGTGCTTTTTTAAAATCAAAACATCCAACATTTTAATAAAACACACATGCGGTTAGGCCTACATCAACTTCATGGTTAGAAAATCTCTATTTTTAGTTGTTTTTTTTTCACGCATTGTCGTATATGTTTTTTTTAAAGAGTCAAGTAAAACAGTTTGGTTCTTTTTATTATTTAAATACTGATTAGTCACAATGATGTAGCTTTAAAAAAAAATTAAATCAAAAGTAATTATAAAAATGATAAAATAATTGTGATCGAATAATCACAGGAAACCATTATTTTACTATTTTTGCCAGCCATGAAATGAAATGTCAAGTTTTTTTAAACTCAATTATTTCAGACCCCAACTCAGTTTGGGTCTCTATTATAAATGTTTTGAATGGGCCTATTCTTTGCAGTGAAAAAAGTTTAGGCCTGCTTGAGAAAAAAAACCAATTCAAAACTTAGTGAGACGGGCTAAAGATTATTACATGGTAGCAACAAAAGCTGTAAGAAATTAATTTCCCACTATGTACTAAACTAATTTTCATCATTAAAATAACTCCTGAGCTTCTATGCATTTTCACTAAAATCACTTGAATGAAGCCCTGCTAACTTTGAGTGCCATGTATTTAAATCGGACAAGCTGTAGAAAATCACAATTTTTATAAATTACTTCTCAAACTCCTGTCAACCCAAAAAAAAAAATACACAGCACTACAAAGGATTACACTAAAGTACAGATTTAAGAAATGTTTTTTAAAACAGCTTCAAGTAGACAACCAATTTACTTTTATAATTAAACTTGTTAAAATATCAAAAGTATACAAGTGTGGTTTTCAGTTGTTTACAAGTCTTCTAAAACAATAATTGAGGTTTAAAATCCCAGGTGACACGCTAGTTACACAAAGTCTATTGAAGTTTTTTTTTTGAAAATTTAATTCGAAAAAGATTGAGGTATGTATGTTATACAAATGTTCTATAATACCACAAAATCAACTATTGAAAAAGGGTTGTTAGTTTTCTAGTGTTAATCTAAATATTTATTAATAATAAAAGTAATAAATTGCCAATGTGAATGCCAACACTATATTCTGTCCTGAAACTACACTGTGTATTACAATAGACCCACTAATAACGTATGATAACTATTTCCCAAGCCCACTGCCTGACACTGGTAGCACCAATACTCCAATTGTAGTATTTTATTGGCTTGCAGTGTCATAAATTGAGGTTTATATGTTCCACCAGTATTTTATAGACCAAATGTCACAATACTGGATTCTTCTTAAAAAGCTGTGACAAGTTATTGGTGGTAAATTTACAAATGCTTTCCTAATCCAAATGGTAGACCCTATTCACATTTCAATATTTATTGTCTCAGTTATAATTTAATTATCACAACTGAAGATATTCAAACTCTTCTAAACTAAAAGTCAAACATCGTTATAAACTTGATTAGAACTATGAGGGTGGTTATGTTTAACAATTGGTAGTTTTCTTTTTATACTTAGACAGCCATTTTGAAGCTGTTGACAGATTCAAAGAAAACAACTACACTATCCGCATAGATTAGCTTACCATATTAAATTAAAATACCATGCCTTTCGACATGGAATAATGGATTATTAGCCAGATCTTGTTTGTAATAGGCATAATAGTTTGGGTCACTAGACTAGATTGTGAGATAGTTTATTAAATATAAGCAGTATAAAAGCATTAAACTATGTGCAAACTATTGCATTTCTTGGTATGCCTTTTTGTATTGAGGGTAGAGAATGAACTCACATTTTGAGGTATTTAAATTTTGTAAAGCAACTACTTCCTATTCAAAGTGTACAACAATGACCCTCTAATTACAGATACATTTATTCATTGTTAGGTCAGGTGTCACCCTGAGTTGACCATTCGCTTATGGTAGTTTCCACAGTGAAGGCATGACTAATTCCCATTGAATGTTGACTGTAGCAGTGTATGAATTAAACCATGGCTTACATGCTCAGGGTTATGTAGAGTTTTCATGCTTGACATAATTTGATGTTACACCTAAAGTGGGTGGGTTTTGTGGTTAAGTTGAGAAAATAAAAATATTGCCTTTTTCTAAATTATTATACATATACATTATATATATATATATATGTCTTTATCTGCACAATATTCATATCTCTTTCTCATAAAACAAATCCTTTAAAAATCCTGATAAAAATAACGCTGAAAAAAATTGTATTGGATATGTTCATGAATTATTGAAGTTAGGCCTCCATAGATTTGCAATAACAAGAAAGTCTTATTTAATTAAAACTTTGAGATAGTTAAAACACATAATTAAACTGCATTAATTACATTTTTATTATCTGTGTGGTTCTAGCATTTGTGACAGCACATGTGCTCTGTTTCATCTGTTTCAAAACATCTTTACTTGAACCATGTGTGTACTTGTGTTTCAGAAGAAGACTCCAATTCTAACCAAGAAAATGATGACCCTATTGCTTTCTCTGCTTCAAAACCAACCTTCTACAGTAATGGTGATGAGGACAGTTCATACAAACCTCGATACTGTCATCTGAAAATATGGCCACATTTCCAGGTAACAGTTAAAACAAACAGTTTGTATGATTAACTAGCCTGCTGTATAGGTATTTCATAGTTAAAAAAAATCAACTAAGCTTATCATACATAAGCCCCAGCCAGAACTTTGGGCTAGAATCTGCTGTCCCTTTTTTATAGTCTGATATTGTTTTAGTCATCTAGGTGTAGTGTTTATATGAAGTGGTTTTTTTTTTTCAGTTTTGATAAACTGTTCAGCTTGTTAAGTACAAATAATTGTCTAGATAACAGGTATTAAGGTGTGCTTAGGCTCAGGTAAAAGAATGTAGGCACTATGTCTTAATTCTGGCTTCTAGCCTGGTTTTGGAAGTGATCACATTGGCCTGTTTATTTAACACACAGGGTCTTTAGGAAACATATAAAGAACAGACCATAATACGATAAATAAACCGCCCCTTTTTAAAATTAGTATGAAATACATGCATTTAATTTTCTGCATTGTCTAGTATTTTTCAAGGTTTGATAATTAACACCCTATAATACAAGTGCTTTTTCAAGTTATAGTTTTATTTGTAATGGGGGTTATTCAAGGCTTTTCATACCAAGATTTGTCATATTGTGTTAGTTTAAGGCAACCATTATTTGCTTATTTAAAAATAAATTCTTATTCCAGTTGTGTTATGCAACTACCATAGGTTGTAATGATACAATTATTAACTCCAGACTGAGGATTTCCAGTGTTATAGGTTTATTTATCATTTGAAATTTTGGGAAAATATTGTTTAGGCAAAGAACAGATTCATTTATAAGGTTTTATTAGGTGTTATTTACATTTTTTGGCATAGTTCTTAGGGGCTAGGAATTTGACTTCTATAATTTTAACCTAAGGCTTTATACTTGTCAGGGGAAAGTATTCAGTATTCCTAAACTGACTTACTGCAACATTTCTCATTCATCTGTTATGTTCTCATTCAATCCCATTATCTACCTGTGTAATATTATTTCTTTATTCCAAATTTTCGAAAGGAATGTTACTGCTATGTCATTATTTAAAAACTAATTGCTTTTTTATTAAAATGTTATGTTTTTTTTTGTAAAAAAAAACCTGACCGATGTTTTTACCGCCGTTGAATTAAAGTTCCTATATTTTAATTTTTATGGAAATCTATTTTAATATCAAGATAACAACCTGTTATTTTGCAATTTGGCGATATGGATTAAATTATTAGATTTTAAAGATAAAATTTACCCATTGGCTATTACTTTTCAGGGCTATGGGTTTAATCTTCACGCAGAATTTAACCCCTGGCTATTACTTTTCAGGGCTATGGGTTTAATCTTCATGCAGAAAAAGACAAGCCTGGCCAGTACATTGGTCTGGTTGACGACAACTCTCCTGCCAGCTCGGCCGGGTTACGTGTCAATGACCGCATCATTGAGGTGAATGGGGTGAATGTTGAGAAAGAGACCCACACGGATGTCATAGCCAGAATTAAGGCTGTCCCTGGTGAAACTAAGCTGTTAGTTGTGGACCGGGAGACAGATAAGCACTACAAGGAGAAGGGGGTTACCGTTACATCAAGTATGGCTCAGACTGAACATCTAACATCTACTGATCATTCAGGTAAAGGTTCTACATATTTGACATATCCTTTAGATCCAGTGTTTCTTTCAGACTTTTTTTCTCGGGGGGGGGGGGGGGAGGCGAATCTCGAAGTATATATTTTGTATATAAATTCCATTTCGTTGGGGGGGCCATAAACTGGAATAAACTCTGTTAGGTCCCTTGGTGCTGAGACGTTTATTTATTTCTCAATCTTCATGTCTCTTAAACTTTAAAATTCTTTTCTTAGACTTAGTGTTTGTTGTGTTGTGTTTAATCCAGAAACAACTACCACCCTGTAATTTCAAAGTTATTAAATGAGAATTTTATTTCTTAATTCAGCTGGTTATTGTGTTAGCAATAATTTTAAAAATTATTTTCTCCTCTAGGACATGGCAGTAATGGTGTCAAAGCGCATGTACCAGTAGTAGTACCTGTAAGTGTGACAAGGATTAGTTTGCTTCATGAAATAGTATTTAAAACTGTGAAGATAGAGAAGAAATTTAAAAATAAATTTCTACTGGAACCATAGCTAAAATGATTGTAAAATTCTTAATGAACTGTTGAGTAATGCAGGAAATAGATTTTATGTAAAATATTTAATATAAAACCAAGCTAGATTTAAAAAAAAAAAGATTTTTGTGTAAACTTAAATGTCTATACTTTTAAGTGTTTTAAAAATATATTGTGTACGAACTATATTGCTGTTCAATATATAACAAAAAATTGAATCCATTTAATAGGAACCAGAGCCTGAGTTTACAGTGGCACCAAAAGAGAAGGTGCACAAAGAACCTGCACCAGCTACCAAGGCTGATGGCCTAGAGCTAAACCTATCAGTAGCAGAGATGAAGGAAAGGATCAAGTCCAAGAAAAAACAAGACCCACGTATGAACAAGTTATCTTTTGAAGAGAAATACAAGGAGTTCCAGCGAATGTAAACACCCATAAAAGGTTTTCACAAGAAATTTGACACCCACAGAGTGAAAATGTATGCTGTTTATCTTGTATTAGAATGCACATATAAAGAGAAGGTAGCTATGTATTTTGTGCATAATAGTGGCAACGTTAAAACGAAAACTGGGTAATGGTTGTGAAAAATTTAACAGTGTTAAAATATTTATTATTTTAAATTTAACTTTTTTGGGGTAGGCCTATATAGATCTAGTTGTTAGATTTTTTTCAATAGTAGCCATTGTATTTTTTTTACAGAACTCACAATGGTAATGTTCTAATCATTATGGCAGTATTTGTTTAATTTAAAGTTATTTTATTTTCTTCCATATTATTTGAGTGTTAATTTCAAATTTGATTACGACTATTTCTTAAAATAATAAAAAAAAATTGAGCTTAATTAAAAATAAATGGAATAGTTTTAAAGGGGTGGGTAGGGGTTTATACTGTCCCTTTGTACTGCTGAATCTATGAGGTTCCTTTTATTTAAAGAGTTTTTCTTTAGATGAAGCGCTTTCTGAAAAAAAAAACATTATTTTACATTATCATTTGTAAGCTGCTGTAGTTACTGTACATCCCTCATTCATACTTCATCATTATCTAAGTAGGTAAAATTTGTTACATTCATTTTTCATATCTAAAGATTTACAATTGTTTATAACTCATTATTAAATGATATATTTGTTATTGTATTGGTCTAGTTAACCATAATTTTTGGGTGTAGTTTTGATGAATGGCAGAAATAGATTAAACTATGAGCAGCATAATATAAATGGACAGCTATTCAAGTGAGGGACATAAGTATATATAAGCATTGCTGTGGTGAGTTTTGCTTGTAGTCATCTAGTTTTTTCAACCCGTTAGTGGATTTTTGTTTACTTACTGGAGCAGTGTACCCAAGATTTATTTTAAAATCAGTTTATCATGTTAGTAATGTAAATTCAGCCTCTTTATTAGCATCAGGATTACATGCAATTGCTGTGTTAGAAGAATCTTGTAGAAAACATGGATTTGACTAAAACTTTACCTGTTTCAGCATTAACTGACTTTGAAATCACCACCAAGTACAATAAAACATAGATTTGCGGTAAACAATTATTTTTCAAGGTGTACTTTTTAATAAGTTAAAGGCTGTTTGCATGAAAGTGATTTGGTCCTTCAGATTCCTAGAAATGTAGAAGAGATATTAGAACATAGGTGATCTCTTTTGAAACTCTTAAGTAAAAGTAATGCTTCTATGTTAATCTGTTAGTTATATAAATAAAACAGTTGGAGTAAAAGGATAACATTGTAAAATGAAAACCAGACTTTCATTCCTAATGTTTTGAAAATTTTAGACTTTATGTTAATTAGTGGTTATTTATTCATTGTCTGTATGTTAATATTTAACTTTTAGACTTAATAGCTGTATACCAATATTTTTTTTATATTTCCACATAACTCTATTATTCCTGTAGGATTTTTTTACTTTTTCATTTATTTTATTTTTAAATTAAATGCTGTTTTTAAATGTAGAGTTAAGTTTCTGTAAAATCACATTAATTATATTTTTTTTGAATATTTTGACTTTAATGTTTTGAAATGAGCTCAGTCTTGTTATTGCTATGATCATGTTAAACTGATTCCACTGACATTATGAAGGTGGGCACATTGTTTAGATGTGAAACAACTGTTTTTTTTTGTAAATATTTTTTTTTATTAACACATTCCTAAAGAAATGTTTTAGAGTTGAAGTATTTCATAATAACTTTGTTTACATAGCATCTTGCACCCTGCATGCATACATATGTGTGTACGTTTTTTTAAAAATTTTCTCTCTGAATATATTAATGGTGCCATTCACGATTACAGTTAATGCATGCAGTCTTTACAACAATACACTAATTATCTGGAGTTGAGGATAAAGAGTTTAGAAAGGTATTTTTATGATTGCTGGTTGGGCTAAAATTTGTTTTAGTTTATAAATATTAACCCTAAGAGGGTCACTAGTAGAATAACTTAGATGATATATGTATTGCCCTGCTTGAGATCATAGAAAAACCTATTTTAAAAATATTTGATACTTTACTTCTTTGTGGGTTTGAGGCACATTTTAAATTTCAATGGTTTTTTTTTTTAAACCCATTAACATTGAGATCTTGAAGAAGAGATAAAACATTTTTATTAATGACTATAACTTGTTTGATATGTGTTGTGGCCTGTGATTTATTGCAGTATTTTCTGGAATGTTCTTGTCATGCCAGTAACACAAACACATTGTTAACCCTCTCAGGACAGCTACAACAAAAAGTAATACATTTGTCATTCATTGAAACATACTCAGATTTTTTAAAATTGTAAGCTGTTTAAATATAGTGCTAGAAATCTGCTAAACAGAGTAACTAGAAGAAATGAAACAATTATTGTTATACTTCGATTTTTAAATTTTCAAATACTTTTTGCTCGAAATTGTACTTTTTATTCTACATGGCAAGCATTTATTTAAAACTTACACATTCTAGTTTTTAAAAATATTTCTTAATATAAATTATTTAACATGTATTTTTGAAATTTTGTAAGAAAAATTTGCAATGCATAGTGGTGTGTGCATTTTCTTTTTAAAAAAAAAAACAAACTTTTTGAATTTATATTTGGGATATTGTACCGATATAATTAATACAATGAATTTAGATGTGGTATTCTTATTCTGCTTGTAATCAGTGTATTCTAATGAACATGTGACGACAAATTAACAGATTAACCAACCAACACTTTTATACCCCCCCCCCCCCCCCCCCCCCCCCCATGTAGCCATGCTACTTTATTTAGCCATCTTTTTTTACAATGATTGGTGGTAGTATGTGGTAGGTTACAGATGTGCCTTGTATGTATCAATATAATATTGTATAATTAATTACCTATCATTTGGTCAAGCTTGTGTATATAGTATATGCCCAGACACATTCCTACCTGCTTGATCGCAATTTGTTTTTGTTTTTAAACAAATTATTTATTCTTAAGTAAACTGTTTGGTGTATCTGCCTGCTGGTTTGTGAGGCATGGGATCACATACACGGCAGTGAGCTAGTCTGTAAAGAAGGTAGTCTATCTTTCTAGTTGCCAGCTAGTCTGAAAAATGGAATCATAAGCTTTTTGCTGGCCAGAAAGTTGGAAAAATGGGATGTCAATCTTTCCAATTGCCAGCTAGTCTGAGAAATGGAATCATAAGCTTTTTGCTGGCCAGATAATCTGAGAAATGGAATGTCAATCTTTCCAGTTGCCAGATAGTCTGTGAAATCTCTGGCTGTGCAACCAACTAGGATGTTTAATCATTCTAGCAGCTATTCTGAACACCTCCTCAATTTGATTTGACTTGTGATATGTTATACTTGCTTGCTGGGTGGGAGCCTTACCTGCTTACAATACCGGCTGTAGTTTCATGTGTACTTAAATAATTTCTTCATAAATGTTACAAAACATACAATGATCTTTTTTTTTTTTTTTTACATTTTTTCTAACAATGCTTAACCAGATTTCAGCAGTCAGTTTTATGCTTTAAAAGTTTCTGCATTTAAAGTTAAACAAGTGTACAGTATTTATAAAGATAAGTTGTGGCTATTTAGTTTTTTTTTAAAATTGTCTTTTGGTCTTCACTAAATGGTAGAATTGACTTTCACAGTCTTGTAGTGTGTTGAGAAATGTTTTGTCAGAAATTTTTGAGCTATCATGTATTTTTAATATTGTTGTGACAAGGGGTTGTCCATAACTCGTATAACACTCTTAGAGGGGAGAGGTTTTTAACAATTTGTTGAGTACGCAGGGGTGGGTGTGTAGATTTCAAAATGTGCAGTATTTAAAAAAAAATTGGATTATGGTTATTTTAGATGGGCGGTGGATCTGTGTCAATTTAGTGTGGTCAAGTAGATTGGGGGGGGGGGGGGGGGAGGGGGAGGGGGGTTAAAATAAGGTATAACTTGAATAGTTTAAAATCATGAATGGAAGCCCCTAATAGTTTTATTAAACAGCAGGTCTTAAGCTCATTGGTACAACTCTTATGTTAGGTCATCATATGGTGATACGGTCGATGTTATATTTACTCATGAGTTTGTGATTATACCATCCCATTGTGAAGGGATGGACATTTTGTGAACTGTGAGATTGTGATCAAACTTTAAACACACAAACTCTAGATCAATGAGTCTTAACGTAAAACATTTCCTTACACAAGTTTGATTTTTTAAGGCCATTTGTATTTTTGTCTTTTAATTTTACCCACTTTTTGTATTATCTAGTTTGTGGTGGTTTAGTTGTCCAACTTTATTCAGTTAGTTTAATATTGCACTGATGAAATCTTAAGGTACATTGGTTTAGTAGATTGTCATGGTCTTTTTGCAATCACACAACCCACTTTTTTTTCAGTATTTGAAACATACTTCTATATTTAGGGATTAATGGTGTTACTGTTAACCAATTAGAATTTTAAAAAACTTGAATTGTTTTTAGATGAAACAAAGTTGTTTTTTACATTTTTTCACAAAATAAAAAAGACGGTTGAATGAATTGTACAATGACCATGAAAGTATACAGTTTTGTTTATGATTTTTTTTTCTCTTTACAACTGCTGGTCCCAATGTAATTTCTTTATAAATGTAATTTTTAAACATTCCTGTATAGGTTATGTTATAGAAGTATAGAAATATAATATTGTTTACATTTCTCATTTCAAATTGACAATTCTTGGACCAATGTTAAATTTTTTTTCAGCTCAATTTTTATAAACCCTTTAGATTTGACATCTAATTTATCTAAAACAAGTTTTATAATCTGGAAGTAGAAACCATTCTTTAATCAGATGTTTCGTTAATTACCTTAACGAGAATGTTTTAGTAGCTTCCCTGTAGTGTTGATTCATGTACTGGTCTTCTCCCCTTGATTGTCGCAAAGTATTTCTTGGTTTGTTGTTTACAGATGCCAACCTGCCCTGGAAACTTTGTTTTGCTTGCCTTTGTTTTACAATCATTCCACGATAAAGCACATTTTTATAACCAAGGTTACTATTACTTACCATTTTAGAAACTATTTAAATTGCTCTATTACAATATATTGTATAATACATAACTATTTTCATATTAAAGAAATGTAACTTGTGCGAGTTTTCTACTTTCTGAACAGAGTATGTGAGTGTAAGATTACATGATCAATTGATTTGAAAAGCTTCCTGTAATAAAAATAAAATATAGATCAAAATATGACCCATCCCGCCACTTATTAATTATGTTAAACATAATACCCACAGATGATATTTCATAAGACGGTCAACTCATTGCTTGTAATTCACACAAGTTTTAGTACAAACATTAACATGTCTTGTAGTAGCCAATAGCACATCGAATATGAACATCTCTTCTTATAGTAGTAACCTATAAAACAAAATATGAACATCGTCTTGTAAAATATGAGCATGGTCTTGTTGTAGTAGAAACACATAAAATATGAACATTGTCTTGTAATTACACATACAATATGAACATGGTGTTGTTGAAGTTGCCAATAACACATAAAATGTGAACATAGTCTTATTGTAACACATAAAATATGAATAGCTTTTACAATAGCCTCTAACACCTGATATATGAAATAAACATCACATTCTAATATCTATAACAATGATATTATGTCGATCCCATAATTCACAACTCATATAAAATATTAAGCAGCCTCGTTCTTATAGTAGTAACCTATAAAACAAAATATGAACATCGTCTTGTAAAATATGAGCATGGTCTTGTTGTAGTAGAAACACATAAAATATGAACATTGTCTTGTAATTACACATACAATATGAACATGGTGTTGTTGAAGTTGCCAATAACACATAAAATGTGAGCATAGTCTTATTGTAACATAAAATATGAATAGCTTGTACAATAGCCTCTAACACCTGATATATAAACATCACATTCTAATACCTATAACAATGATGTTACGCTGATCCCATAATTTACAACTCGTATAAAATATTAAGCAGCCTTGTTATAGATATTAGTTGTGGACATATTAGGATGAAATATTCAATATATGTTTCTATTGCCTTCTTCAAGTCTTTTTACGCCCCGTTTACATTGACAGCTATTGAAATGTCTCCAGACACATAGCAAGTTATTGCTTATCAGAATCACTACCTTAACCAATGCACCGAACTCTACGTCATAAAAGTTCGCCTTTTGGACCTAACGATCTCTAAGGGCAGATGAATATCATGTTTCCTGGCCATTTAAAAAGGATAATGTGGTCAGCACTAAACCCAGACACCGTTACTTTCCCTAACATGAGCTAGGTACCCATCATAGCTGAGTGGACTCAAAGAGGTCATGTAGAATCAAGACCGGACCGAGATCGAACTCAAGATTTCGGGTTAGCAGTCGAGCGTTCCACATACCCGACCACGCCGTCCCGTACCTAAGCCTTAAAGATTTGTTAAGTAGAGGGGAGGGGGTGTAAGTTATCTCAAGTGGTAATTAATTATCACTGACCCTTCCCCCCCCCCCCCCCTAATAGACATACACTACATCAAAACGATGTAATAGTCCTGCCTGCGTTTTTCTTTTTAAAGATGAATCAATCAATACCAAACACACTAGTTATAAAACTACTGTAATCGGTTAATTCGGGACTTGCCCAGATTTCCCCCCGCCTGTCTTCACATGCTGAAATAATAAAGCCAAACCAAAATAAAAAATGTTCAGCTATATTCATCCCACAGCTCACCCAAAAATCGTCATTAGTCGCTGCGTCCTGATAAGATTTGGTGATTTTGTTTTATAGTTCGATGATGGGAGACAATCAATTATTATTTGGCTTATTGATCAGGACAGTACTGACAAACGATCTATTTTTTGTTTTTATAAAAAAAGTGCGATCAAATTGGATATTTAAAAAATGGCTGGGCTAGGTAGAAAAATCTGGCCATTGTTAGTACCTTGACAAATGAGAAATGTCAGCAGAAGATTGTAGAGCGAACGATCCTGGCAATCATCGTATTACTCTTGTGTCTGGGAAGAAGGTGTTTCTCATTTTGATTGTTATCGCTCTCCTCCATTTTTTTTTATTACAGTGCGAGTGGGATGTAGTCATTCTAAAACATTCTAAAACAAGAGAATATGCTTTGTCGACGATTTAACCATCTAGTTTTATGCTTTTTAAAAAAAAAATCTGAATAATTAAACATTAAACGTTTTGAACTTAGGTCTTGGTCAGTAAGGGGAGGGGGGGGGGGGCGCCAAAAGGAGTAGGAAAAAAATAAAAGCTCATTTAAAGCTGAGGTATTGAATAATGAACAGTCAAAGTTAAAAAAACGGCTGCAAGGATTTACACACTGATTTAAATGTTTTCTACATCAATTGTGTGACAAAACAGCAACAACATTTACGAAACAGTGACTGATAAAAAGCGCCACAATCCTTTCCAAATAAGGGGGGGGGGATGAGGACGATGCTTTTCAACAACATAAATGACTATATATAAATAAATGAGAGGGGGCGCAAAACTGATAGTTCGCCCAGGGCGCCGTAATAGGTCGCTACTTCTCTGTGACGAGGGTATTGTTGTGAGACCAATAGAAACATAGCGAGGATATCATGACGAGGTAAGACGAAATATCCGGAGGGGGGAATACTATGACGAGGTAGGACGAAATATCCGGAGGGGGAATACTATTACGAGGTAAGACAAAATTTCCGGAGGGGGAATACTATGACAAAACAGACAAAATATCCGGAGGGGGAA